CCAGATTGGGTTCTTTAACATAAGTTAGACCTCTGAAACGAACTTGTATCAACTTCATGTTAAACTGAGCGTAGCTTTCATTACATCACCAGCATTCCATGGTTTGTCCTCACGCTTACTATTAAAAATGAGCGCACTCAAGCTTTCCATTGTTTGGCTCCACGCTTACTTTTGAAAGTGAGCGAATGCTCAACTCGTATCTTCATGAAAACTGAGACACTCAGTTACCGTGCTCAACTACCACATAGAGACCTATTTACATACATGCACAACCAGGTGCTGGGGATTTCCTTAGTTATCTAAAAATTATAAACCAGTATTTTGGTTATAAACTTCAGTTTACTTCAGTTGACAAAAAGCACAAACATTAAACTACTCAGCAATTTACAGAAAAGAAGAAAGAAAAAAGATTTTGAAAAAAATGCATGATTTCAGAATGCACATGACGCATATCCCCAATATCTGCTAGTACATACTACATGGAGTTGTGAGTAATCACAGGCACTGTGCTCCATTTTTTAGCCGCAAACAATCTCTGATCATCACACTTGCAAGTACTGTAAAATCTGTATTAGAAGCCGCATCCCTAATAAAAGCCGCACCCATTCTTTTTAAACAATTGAGAACCAAAAATTCATCATTTCTCATATGTGTAGATGCTGTTTTAGAAGCTGCATCCCCTCTATTGCATTGTACCATTTTAATCACAGCCACGGCTTCTAATACAGATTTTACAGTACCACTCTGGGAACTAAATTCTAAAACAATCTATTCAAAATTTTCAAGTCATAAGCTCTTACCTTATTTTGTTTCAAATTCTGTAAAACAATATTTTCGGGTTTAAGATCTCTATGAATGATTCTCTTTGAATGCAAGTATTCTATTCCACTTGTGATTTGCAGTATGATATCACGAACCATGTTTTCTTTCAAGCCACAGCAATTCTCAGCACTGTTCAACAGCTGGGAAATCAAATAAGTAACAGAGATGTATTTCCATGGTCAAATAGTCATATTTTAATTAATGATCCAATATTGATTAATTAATTAATTTATGGTCTATGTTCACTTCTAATATAGAGTACATATGGTAGTGTGAGGAAACATTACTATGTGCAAATCACTACTGTACAGAGCGATAAGCAGCCAGGGTAAGTATGCCTGGTATCACTGTCACGTATTAAACTTTCATACACCATCGTTTTTCCTGCCAACATTTTGCGTCAACTTTTTGTAATTAGTTTGTATTTAATTATAATGTATTTATTAATTTTGGACCAAATGAACATAAATTTGTATTGGCTATAGAGAGAAAAGTTTATTTTGTGAATGGTGATGGAAAATAGATCTTCGAGTTCAATAATTTTTTAATTTTTTTTTTATAGGAAACTGGCATGAGAAAGGATTGGGCAACTCATACCACAAAAATCCAGTGTACTCTTGTTTTCAATAGATCATTGCAGGTTTCTGTATCACATTTAATTTGTCATTCTTGCTTATAGTCGCTTGTTTTGTGAAAAAGTGTGTATTTGATACATTGTATGATACTAATTGTTAGCAAGTATACTTCTAAGTACGTTGAATTGCTGAAAATGTATGGTCACTTTTGTACAAATTGGGGTAAGCATAAACTGTTCAATCATGTACAAACTTTGAACTGTCCTGCAGCATTTACTGGCATATTCAAACAATATATCACATGCACTTGAAACATGCAAACCATTTAATAGGAAGCACTGACAAATATATGTGGCTTATAAGCTTACATGTCTCAAATCCCCTCCAGAGCAGTATTCCATCCCGAGATGTGGTATGTCCCCATCATTTGACTGCAACACATCGGGAACCTTGATAGCTTTTACAACATTAGTATGATCCAATCGTTGCATTATAGCTATCTCCGTGTTCCATCTTCTTTTGTTCTTATCATCTAACATTAATCTACATTCTTTTAATGCCAGCAGCTCATTATTTTTCTAAGATGTGACAAAAAAAGAAAAATTATTTTGCACAATTTAATATCGGGAATGTAAGGATGAAACCGAACCAATCTGGTTTACTTATGCTATACATATGCATCTTCACAACTTTGTGTTTTGCACACAAGCACCGTCCCTCAATGTTGAGGGACAGTGACACAAGGCAGCCAAAAATCCAGAGTTATATATTCAAGAAGGTTTGCTGCAAGGTATATACCCACACATAACAATGCTATATAACACACTGCTTTAATTTCACAAGGATTTATGAAATTTTGTCTCTGTGAGGGGTCCTTTCTAAAATAGTCACATAAGGAGTGAACCATTAAAAACCTTGTGTGGTGAGATGAAAAACTGGGCAAAATATTTATTTTTTTCCTTCACTTAGTTTTGTCCTAATTTTTGTTTTTGCACTGTGTGATTTTTTTCCCTAGGCGATTCAAGCATGCAGAATTTTTTTCTGTTATACTTTTTCACTGTGTAAATTTTTTTTGTTTTTTAATCTACCATTATTGGTACCTCCCACCCCCTCCTAGTATCTAATGGCCAACCTCTTACTTTCATATATTTTAGCTCCCCATGGTCACCTCTACAATAGGTATTTTCCACTCACTGCAAGATCTTGTGTACTGTTTGAACCATTTGATTTAGAATTTCTTTATATAAGTCAATGTCAAAATGCTGATCTTTAAGAGAAAAATATAGCATTGCGATACCCTTACTTCATCAAAATTGACCATCATAAAATATGTATAGCACATTATTACGTCTGGAAATACTCCTAAATTACTTTCATGCTTGTAAAAACCACACAATGTTTTGATATCCATACAACAATATGAACTTAATTTGTTGTGTTTTAAATTTCACACATAATGTTTGTAGTATCAATATTACCTTATGCTTCCATAATCTGACAGTACCAAAGCCTCCAGATCCAAGAACTTTTTCACAATGCCAGTCACCTTTCTTGTCAGAATGTGGATTGTAAGCCATCTTTCATGCCTAAAAACAATGAAGCAGAATACATACTATATGAACAGAATAAACATGTTCAACACAATAATTTGAACTGGATTATGGGTAAAGTAAAAGTGAGTAGGTTGATATGCAGTACTAAGAGGTGACTTATTTGAAATCCTTGGGGAGGGGCTGATGAAAATTGAACAATTGTTTTGTTTTACATTAATGCGAGAGGGAGTTTGTCTGAATATAATTTCTTTCTTAATAAGAGGATTATTTTTCTTCAAATTTCTGTTTCGAGAGCAACTTTTTTCTCACTGTTAGGCCTGTTTTTTTCTTGATTTCAGCCCACATCAAATTGCCCCAGATTTTAAATGAGTAACTCCTATTATAAAAAGGAAATAATTGATCATTTTATAAATGTTTATGATACCAAATGACAGTTGAATCAAAGCAAATTTTTACAAGGCAGAATTTGACAAACAAGCTGCTCACTGATAACTACATGATTGTGTATTACATGTAGCTACTTTTTGTATGCATTGAATACACATGTGTTAAAATGCCTAAACACCAGAGAGATTGATATTTTAAAACGGGAGGGTCATCACCTGCACACACGTGGAAATTGAGTCCTAAGCGACGATAACAACACATGCTAAAAACGCAAAGGCTCATGGGTAGATACTTGTTTGTAAACAATGACACGCTATGACCATCTGACGCATACACAGATGATGACTCCCCTGCTTTAATGATTTTATTCTGCAAAATTTAATTTCAACAAGTCATGCCATGACATGACAGAGTCCCCGTTTGTTCAGTAGTAAACAAAATTGAAATGAGTCAGCCATCGTCAATCAGAACAGGAAAAAAAATATGATATACAAATCGCGCCCTCTAGGAACGGGCGCTACTGTTTCGTCAAAATGACGTATATGATTGAAATTAAATATCTCTATCAGACACAGGGCACAGTTGTCGGCCAGGGTTCTCCCAAATATCGTGTACGTCGAATGAAACTCACATCAAATGCGCCTCGACAATTGGTGGCGCTGTGTCCCTTGGCCATTGCTTCCCATTGACAGGTCTGATAATACAGAGGTACAGTACATATATAAATGTAGCATAATTGCAAACAGATGTTATACATGTTACAACACTTTCATTTGTACTTTTACATTCAGCTTATTGACAACTTAACTAATTTGGAATGTCATACAAGTGGATTTTGAACTGAGAGTGAGTGATAGTGTTTCCATGACAATACGAATCCTAGTTACAATGTACATTAAACCTTTTGAGAGCCATCGTCAACTTTTGGCAGGCTCTACAACATGATTTTGTATAGCTCTTCCCAACATGATCAAAAAATAAAAGCAATATCTGAACTGTCTGTATGAACCAAAATGATGATAAAATGTATTACAAATTTTACAAAATGTGAACATATTTGGACTGAATTTTGGGCAATAAAAATATAAGTGAACATAGACCACTCTCTTTTCAAAGAGCTTCCAATAATTCTCACTATCCCAATCTATACCATTTTGAAGAGATTTTTATAGCGCAGCTCTCCTAATCACTCACATTACTCAGAAGAGCCATTTTTAGTTCACAGGCTGTTTTTAAATGACAATGGCTGCATTTTGGCATCAGTTTGGTCAAATTGCACCTGTGTATAAGTCAAACGACAGATGATATATATAATAATAATAATAATAATAATAATAATAATAATAATAATAATACTAATTTCATTTATTACACCATAATGAAAGTTAACAAATCATTTTAGGCTGTCATGTAATAAATTTTAGAAACAGTTAAAGAAAATTAAAATTAAAATAGTTTAAAATGGCAAATTAGCTTGAGATAGTGTGGTGATATACAAATATGTATAAGTACATGTCTATGTGTCATGTTTCTTAAAACAAAGTTTTAAGTATTTAGTCACATGCTTGATTAATTTATGTTCTTTTGTATTAATAATAGTTTTGAATTTGTTTATATTGTTTTCTGATTGAAAAGTGGGGAGTACATTTGTGAATTCTGTATAAAGTATTTCTCTTTCAGTATTATAAAAATCACATACTGTTACAAAATGTATTTCATCTTCAATTTCTGATGAAGTGCATTTTTTACAGATTTTTTTTTCTGCTGGTATTATTGGCCTTTTATATCTTCTAACTTCATGTTTACATGTTTAGTATTTTACACTATTATCTACACTGACATTTGAATTTAATCAAGAAAAACAAACTTATAATCAATCATTTTCATTTATCTGTTCAAAATTACCTTTTATTCAACTTAGGAATTGTCATATTTGTATTCACAAATTAATTAATCAAATGCCTCAACTACCATAACAACAAAGGTGACCTGTGTATAAAAACCATGATGGAAGATGACTGTGGCCATTTTTTGATGTTTAATAAATACTGTTAAGGGCTTAATTATTCACTGGGTTTTAATTTTGCTTATTTTGCTGACTGGAAAATGCGCTAAATTAAAACCCAGTGAATATGTAAAATTTAGCATAGAACACATTATCTAAATGACGAAACCGTGATTTTAAAACCCACTGAATATGCCTGAAATGGTAAATCAGTGAAATTTAAACCAAGTGAAAATTAGTCATTTTACAGTATATAACTTTTAACTTATTTTCACCTCTATTGCTACCTTAGGTGGTCAGTATACTGTAAAATTACTAAAATTTTTAAATCGATGATTTACCATTTCAGGCACATTCAGTGGGTTCTATGCTAAAATCCATCCATGCATGACTGAGATCCGGTTCCGGAATTGTGAAAATACGTGATTTTGATGCATTTTCGGCCTTAAAATGGCCATCATTCAGCTATTGTTAAGCGGATCATGAAACAAATGCACATATCTATTTGTGACATGATGTACCATGTGTGTGTGAAGTTTGAACTTGATCAATCCAGACATGTCTTGGATACGAATCCAGAACTGAATTCTTTAACAAAATGGCCGCCAGTCGGCCATTTCGAACTTGATCTGAAAAAAAAAAAGACGTGCATCAAGGTCCTATTATGTTTAATGTATGTACCAAATTTGAACAAAATCCATCCATGCATAACTGAGATACGGGTCCGGAATGGTGAAAATGTGCGATTTCAATGCATTTTCGGCCTTAAAGCGGCCGTCATTTGGCTATCGTTAATGAGATCATGAAACAAATGCACATACATATTTGTGACATGATGTACCTTGTGTGTGTGAAGTTTGAACTCGATCAATCCAAGCATGTCTCGGATACGGATCCAGAACTGAATTCTTTAAAACAAAATGGCCGCCAGTCGGCTATTTCGAACTTGATCCGAAAAAAAAAATGA